AGGGTGTGTGAATCATACGAGAGGTGAAAGTATATCTTTGACCACAAATGATCGGGAACTGAAGCAACTTGTAAATTCATGATTGTCTACTTAATTCTTCACACACACATCAGTTTTACATTGGAAACGTGGATATTAGTTTGAAATTGTGACTGTGAAATAGTTTGTAGATTTAATACCGTGATTTCAAATACAAAGATAAAAAGCTAGATTGTTTAACCAAATATTTTTGCATACTTGTGTGTTTGTTGTTATTTAGGTTATAATTTTGTTTGAGGAAAAACAAATTTTTAAATTTGGGGATATTTGATAAATGTATTTTATACATTTATTCGAGGTCTAAAATAGCGATATTTGATAGTTATTTTGACAAAACAAGATATCCGAAATTATTGTATTTTATGTTATATAGGTAAAACTCAATTGTTGAATGATGAATCGAAAGAAAGAAGTGAAAATGAGCAAAATTCGAAATTTGAGGACCAAATTTTAATTATTCAATAGTTGATTCGGATACAAGAATATACTTTGAAGATTGCTAGAAGACAATTGGATTAAATTAGAACTCAAAAAGGAATGGAATATGATTAAAAATCAATTTCCAATCATACAAGTTATATTCTAGATTTTTAGTCGAAAATTGAGATCCATTTTTAGCATGGTAAACGTCCGAATTGGAAATATTCCATTTCTAGAAAAGTTGTATCCCTTTGAGCTACCTTTCCAATGCACATTGAATCTCCTTAATCAGATATCAAGAGAGAGATTTATGACCCAAATAATGACTGCTATATAGAGACAAAAAATCTGCGTGCGAATGGAACTTTCTTTATTCGATTGAAAATCTTTTGGAAACCAATTTGGACGCGATTTTCAACCAATTTTCGACTCCTACAAATACAGAACAACAGAATACATATGGGGAGCCTTTGATATTCATATAATACTCCAATATTCACCATCGAAAGGAGAGAATCAATAATTTTGTGAGAAATTACAAGATGGATTGCAAGAATTCATTCAAGTGAAAATCCAACTTTATTTTTGGGCAGAGAAGAGAAGGTGCAACTGGAGATTCGTCAATAAATCA